TTCCGCTTAAAGAACTTTACACCAGAGAATTAAACAAGTTTGTGGAGATGATCCCAAAACAAAGAATGAGAAGGAGAAATAAAAACCAACCCTGCTCCACGCGGTTACCTGCAGGACTGATGGGGGGGTATCCTCGGTGCTGCCCCCCAGAGGACGAGCCGTGCAGGTGCAGCAGGTCTCCGGACGGGGCGGAGGAGCCGGGCGGGGCGGAGGGGGCGGCGGGGGCGCGAGGCTGTAGCCCCCCGGGGAACACCATCGGCTGGGCGCTGCTCTGAAGGTTCTCCAGCAGGTCCTCCAGCTCCGAAGACTGAACACAAACACAGAGACGAGAGCAAAAGTGAGAACGGAACAAGAAACATGAAGCTCAGACACTTCAGAACAGGTTTGGACGAGGTTAAAGTGCACAGGGAGGGCATCTGACACACAGGGACATGTCTGTAGACGTCTAAATGTTTATGTACAAACTGAAAATGATTAAGTGGTAGAGAATGAAAGAGCATAAATACATCAAGAATCTCAGACTTCCGGTCATCGTACAATTCATACTGGAACGGATCCTCCAAAAAAGTGATCATCAAACCTCCATGTTTGTTTTCCCAGTGGGACGTGTGTCTAGTGTCAAAGTCGATCTTTTCAAGTCTTTTGAACCATATCACTTTTGTTTCTGATTCTGATATTGTCGTATTTTAGTTTTGGGATTTGGACGTCGTCATTGTGCGGTTGTTTTGAATCCGTGTGTCGTTCGTTCATTCGTTTTTCAATATAAAACCAAAAATAAGGAAACGAAAAAAAACAACAGTTTTCTTCATTATTTGTCTCCAAAACCAAAATGAAAAAACAGATAATGATTTGTTTTTTCAGTTTTCGATTTTGTGTTTAAATGAAAAATGGAAAAAAAGGATAACGGCCGTTTCTCGCTTACGTGACTTCTGTGACTGCGATGCCGGACTGAACCAGGACTGATCCAGGTCCGGGACCAGACTGAGACCAGAGTGGACTCCGAGCTTTGACTCCGAGTCCGAGCCTCAGCTTCGAGCTCTGGCCCTGTCGTAGGCTCTGAGCCTCCAGTCTGGTCTTGGTCTCAGTCCCGGTCTTGGTCCCGGACCTGGATCAGTCCTGGTTCAGTCCGTATGTGGTGCAAAAGTTCAGCATCGCAGTTACAGAAGTCATGTAAACGGGAAACGTCCGTTATCTGTTTTTTCCATTTTTCATTTAAACACAAAATCAAAAACTGAAAAAATGAATCATTATCTGTTTTTTTCATTTTGGTTTTGGAGACAAATAATGAAGAAAACTGTTGTTTTTTCACTTTCTTATTTTTGGTTTTATTTTGAAAAACGAACGACACACGGATTTTGGATCCTAACAGCGGAAAACAGCTCGAGAAATGTGTTTGTGAACTCCATAAATGCAAAAGTGAATCAGATGTGTGTGACTCAAACCTCTGTTCAAACTGTTTCTCTTCCCAACGGAATTGAAAAATAGTGAAAGGTGAAGGTGATGGGCAGGATTGATCCACAGGAAGAACCAAAAAGGAAACATTTGACTGACTAAGAAATCATCCTGAGTTTACAGAGAACATTTTGTATGTGGAGCAACGACAAAACAAAATCCTGATCTCTCACTAAATCTTGTTTACGAATTTAAAAAGTCAAGGCCAAAGCAAAAGTCTCCAACTGTTCACCAAGAAACACCTTCCACTGCAAAGAGACCAAGACGTGATGTTTGTGTAAAAACCACAAGAACAAGAAAGTGCAGCTTCAGTCTGTTTGTCTTCTGCTCCTCTAACATTAACAAACAGGATTTTCTCTCTCTCTTCTCTGTCTCTCTCTCCTAGTATCTCTCTCTCTGTCTCTTCTTTCTGTCTCTTTCTCCTTCTCTGTCTCTCTCTTCTCTCTCTCTTGTCTCTCTCTCTTTCTGTCTCTTTCTTCTCTCTCTCTGTCTCTCTCTCTCTTCTCTCTCTCTGTCTCTCTCTCTTCTTCTCTCTCTCTGTCTCTCTCTCTGTCTCTCTCTCTCTCTCTCTGTCTCTCTCTCTGTCTCTCTCTGTCTCTCTCTCTCTGTCTCTCTCTCTCTCTGTCTCTCTCTCTCTGTCTCTCTCTCTGTCTCTCTCTCTGTCTCTCTCTCTCTCTCTCTGTCTCTCTCTTCTGTCTCTCTCTCTCTCTCTGTCTCTCTCTCTCTCTCTCTCTGTCTCTCTCTCTGTCTCTCTCTCTCTCTCTCTGTCTCTCTCTCTGTCTCTCTCTCTCTCTCTCTGTTTGTGTGGACGTTCTCTTCCTGTGGTCATTACACTGATGAACTGAGGCTAAAAATAAACTCAGAGAAACAAACTCACGTGGTCAGAGAAAGAGAGAGAGAGAGAGAGAGAGAGAGAGACAGGGGGAGGGAGGGAGGAGGAAAGAAGAGAAAGAGAGAGGGAGAGAACAAGAGGAGGAGAGACGAGTGGGGATGAAGGAGAGAAGAGAGAGGAGAGAGAGAAAGATGGAGGGAGAGGAAAGAGGAAGAGATATTTACTGTGTGAAACGTCGGAAGTCGTGAACATGAAGAAAAAACATGAATGAGACGACGAGTGTTTATATTTATGACTTTTACAATACGACCTGTTTCACTCTCACCTGCGGGCGCTCCTGTCTCACCTGCGGGCGCTCCTGTCTCACCTGCGGGCGCTCCTGTCTCACCTGCGGCGCTCCTGCCTCACCTGCGGGCGCTCCTGTCTCACCTGCGGGCGCTCTTGTCTCTCTCGTCTCACCTGTGGGTGCTCTTGCCTCACCTGCGGGCGCTCTTGCCTCACCTGCGGGCGCTCTCGTCTCACCTGCGGGCGCTCTTGCCTCACCTGCGGGCGCTCTTGCCTCACCTGCGGGCGCTCTCTCACCTGCGGGCTCTTGCCTCACCTGCGGGCGCTCTTGCTCACCTGCGGGCGCTCTTCCTCACCTGCGGGCTCTCGTCTCACCTGCGGGCTCTCGCTCACCTGCGGGTGCTCTCGTCTCACCTGCGGGTGCTCCTGTCTCACCTGCGGGCTCTCTCTGCTCACCTCGGGCGCTCTCGTCTCACCTGCGGGTGCTCCTGTCTCACCTGCGGGCGCTCTCGTCTCACCTGCGGGCGCTCTGTCTCACCTGCGGGTGCTCCTGTCTCACCTGCGGGGCTCTCGCTCACCTGCGGGCGCTCTCGTCTCACCTGCGGGTGCTCCTGTCTCACCTGCGGGCGCTCTCGTCTCACCTGCGGGCGCTCTCGTCTCACCTGCGGGTGCTCTCTCGTCTCGTCTCACCTGCGGGTGCTCCTGTCTCACCTGCGGGCGCTCTCGTCTCACCTGCGGGTGCTCCTGTCTCACCTGTGGGTGCTCTCGTCTCACCTGCGGTGCTCTCGTCTCACCTGCGGGTGCTCTCGTCTCACCTGCGGGTGCTCTGCTCACCTGCGGGCGCTCTCGTCTCACCTGCGGGCGCTCTCGTCTCACCTGCGGGCGCTCTGTCTCACCTGCGGGCGCTCTCGTCTCTCGTCTCTCACTGCGGCGCTCTTGTCTCACCTGCGGGTGCGGGTCTCTTGTCTCACCTGCGGGCGCTCTGTCTCACCTGCGGGCGCTCCTGTCTCACCTGCGGGCGCTCCTGCTCACCTGCGGGCGCTCCTGCTCACCTGCGGGCGCTCTGCTCACCTGCGGGCGCTCTTGCCTCACCTGCGGGCGCTCTTGCCACCTGCGGGCGCTCCTGTCTCACCTGCGGGCGCTCTTGTCTCACCTGCGGGCTCTGTCTCACCTGCGGGCGCTCCTGTCTCACCTGCGGGCGCTCTCGTCTCACCTGCGGGCGCTCTCGTCTCACCTGCGGGCGCTCTCGCCTCACCTGCGGGCGCTCTCGCCTCACCTGCGGGCGCTCTCGCCTCACCTGCGGGCGCTCTGCCTCACCTGCGGTGCTCTCGTCTCACCTGCGGGTGCTCTCGTCTCACCTGCGGGCGCTCTTGCCTCACCTGCGGGCTCTTGTCTCACCTGCGGGCGCTCTTGTCTCTCTCGTCTCACCTGCGGTGCGGGTGCTCTCGTCTCACCTGCGGGCGCTCTTGCTCACCTGCGGGCGCTCTTGCTCAGCGGCGCTCTCGTCTCACCTGCGGGTGCTCTTGTCTCTCGGTCTTGACGGTGGCTCTGCTCGTGTCGCTCGTCTCCATCTTCAGGGCTTTGTCCAGGATGCCGTTATCGTCTCTGTCCAGCAGGTAGCGCAGCAGAGCGTTGTCCTTCTTCTTGGGGCTCCCTGGAGTCTGCTCCTGTCTCCTGTCGCCCTCCGCACCTGTCGGCTCGGCTGGATCTGCTGCTGCACCTGTCGCGCTCTCCTTACCTGCGGGAGGAGGAAACAGTTACTTTTACTCCAGTGACTTTTAGAAACAATCAGTCAAACTTTATTTAAGTGCAAACTGTAGTTTTCAGAGCTCACACATGGACCTGTGCTCCTAAAACCGATACACATCTGATCTTCTGACATGTGACTTCAGTCTGAACGGTCAGGTCACATTCATCCCACCTACACTTCAGACTCAGAGTCTCGTCAATGGAGGGAAAGCGAAGTTAGAGAGTTTATTCATATTTTGTGGGATCTGTGTTCAGAACAAATTGAAGGAGGGTCCAGTCAAGTGTTAAATCCAAACAGTGATAACTCTTGGTTCTCACTTACATATCCTTAACAAACTGGTTTGAATATTTGCTTCATATAGTTTTCTACCATATGGTACAAGATTAGGTTGAAAAACCTCTTACTTTTTGACTCAGAGATTTTTTATTAAGAAAGTTCATGGTAACGGAGGGAAAAGTAACCGGAGGGAAAATTGTACAAACAAGTAGAAGGTGCAGGATTTTACATCATTTGTCGGCTTTTTTCTTCTGAATACTTTAATATTACTTCAAAATGAAAGGAAACTATTTCTATAAAATATGTCAGTCCTTCCAAGAACATTTTTATCATTTTAAATACTTTTTTTTTTTAAAATCATGTCCCTTCATCAACAGTTCAAAGATGGAATAACACAAGATATGATGAAATACATCCATTTATTTACATGATTTTCAGGTCTTTGAAATTTGGGAAATAATTTTTGTTCCATGTTTCATACATGGTCTGTTTAAAACGGATGGAACTTTAGAACCAAAAATGGTCCAGAAAAAAGGTCAACAGTTTCATAAACTAGAGTACATATGTATCTGTTCAATACATTTTTATATCAGATGAATTAACTTGAATTTTTGGCCTTGTTGTTTACTTCTGCTGGACCGGGACCAGGAGTCTTATTGGAACTGGGCGGGTTTTGAAATGACTGACAAAGAAATGTCCGAGCGCGGCTACAGACAGACCTGACTCCAACGTCAACGAAAAATAAAGATCCTGAGCAAAATCCAAGGAGGATAAAGACTCAAACAAACGAAGCGGCTGTGGACGTGTGACCTGAACATTTTACCAACAACTGGACCGGATTTTAGGAGCTCGATGTGACGTCGTCGTGTCCTCCAGTGCACATGCGGGACACTTTTGCGGCGTTTAAAGTTCACACTAGAGATCACACACAAGTCACATTTAATTGAAAATGTGAACGAGCTCGCAGAAAAATCCAAATTGAGCATAAAGCATCTACAAAGCAGACCCCTCCAGACCTCACAGACCTCGTCTCTCCCAGAGTCAAACCAAGTATTGGACCTTCAAGAAACAGGTCAAAACTTCCTCAGAGCCAAAAAAACCCTATAATTATAACGCACAACCGGAATTATCCCACCAAATGAAGTCAAAACTAACAATCGTTGACTTTAATCTCAGTTTTTGTGTCCGTACCTGTGGCTTCTGCCGTCAGCTTGGCCAGTTCCACCGGCGAGGAGCTGTTCTGGAGGAGCCTGTGCAGGATTTTGTGTTTTTGCTTCAGCGATGACGAGTGGTTTCCCTGGCCCGCGCCCGCTCCCAGTTCCCCGTCTTTCCCCGCCTCTTCCCCAGGCGAGCCCGGGTCCACATTCTCCAGTTTACTGTTGGTGAGGAGCTGCAGGAGTTTGGTGTGACCTTTGGCGTTCAGAAGTTGGTTGGGGACATCTCCGAGCTCCTCCAGGTTTCCGTCCTCTTCTTTGAATCGGTCCTCGCCGGATTCGCTCCCCCCGAACAGATCCGAGTCTAAACCTGACTTGGTGATGTTCGGAGGGCTCTGAGACGTGGACTTTTTCCTTCTGGATTGTGACGAGCTCCCGACCGAAGATGGAGATTGCTGGGGTGAGTTGTTTTGGCTGCTACAGTTGCTGCTGGCGACTAAACCTGGGCTTTTTCTGTGTGGCGGAGGAGAGTTTGTGGAGGGCTGAGGGGCAGAGGAGACGTACGGGCTGCCCAGAGACGGAGGAGGCGGAGAGGCCGAGGAGCGACCCCCGGGAGAGGAGCAGGAGCTGGGGTGAGGACCAGAGGAGTGACCCCCTGGAGAGGAGCAGGAGGTGGGGCGAGAGGCAGAGGAGCGACCCAGGGGAGAGGAGCAGGAGCTGGGGTGAGGGGCAGAGGAGATGGCCCCTGTGTCTGGAGAGAGGGCGGAGGGAGCGGGGGAGCTCAGGGGGGACACAGGCTTTGGGACGACAGCAGGGGGCGCTGGTGTGTCAGAGGTCAGGTCAGGCATGTTCTGCTCCCTGCAAACACAAAAACAGAAAATATGAAAGTGTATGTACAAGCAAAAAAGTGAAATACTCTCCCAACCTTCCATGACCTCGGCTTTAGAGGGGCTGATTCTCGGCTTCTCCTTGTAACCTCTGTAGGTTGTAACCTCTCTATGATGTGTCTTCTGTAGGATGTGACCTCTGTAGTGTGTTGCCTCTGTAGGATGTAACCTCTGTAGAATGTAACCTCTCTTTGATGTGTCACCTCTCTGATGTGACCTGTGTAGGATAAGTCCTCTGTAGGATGTAAACTGTCTATGATATGTCTTCTGTAGTATGTGACCTCTGTAGGTTGGAACCTCTATGATGTGACGTCTGTAGAATGTTACCTCTGTAAGTTGTGACCTCAGCAGGGTGTGTCCTCTGTAGGATGTTTCCTCTGTAGAATATGACCTCTCTATGATGCGACATCTGTCGTGTGTGACCTCACTATGATGTAACCTCTGTAGGCTGTTACCTCTGTTGGATGTAACTCTCTATGATGTGCTGGATGTACGATGAGGCCTTTGTAGTGTGTGTCCTCTGTAGGATGCGACCTCTGTAGAATGTTACCTCTCTATGATGTGCCCTCTGTAGAATATAAACTCTCTATGATCTGTCCTCTTTAAGATGTGACCTCAGTAGGGTGTGACGTCTATAGGATGTTTCCTCTGTAGAATGTGACCTCTCTATGATGCGACCTATGTTGGATGTTACCTCTCTATATGTCCTCTGTAGGAATGTGACTTCTGTATGATGTGTCCTCTGTAAGATGTGTCCTTTGTAGTGTGTGTGACCTCTGTAGGACATTACCTCTGTAGGATGTAACTCTCTAAGATGTGCCGGATGTAAGATGAGACCTTTGTAGTGTGTGACCTCTGTAGGATAACACCTTTGTTGGGTGTTACCTCTCTATGTGTCCTCTGTAGGATACGACCTCTGTAGAACATTACCTCTCTATGATGTGTCCTCTGTAGAATATAACCTGTCTATGATATGTTCTCTGTAGGAATGCGACTTCTGTATGATGTGTCCTCTGTAAGATGTGACCTCTGTAGTGTGTGACCTCGGTAGGATGTGACCTCGGTAGGATGTGACCTCTGTAGTGTGTGACCTCTGTAGTGTGTGACGTCTGTAGTGTGTGACCTCTGTAGAATGTGACCTCTGTAGGACATTACCTCTATAGGATGCGACCTCTGTAAGATGTGTCCTTTGCAGTGTGTGACCTCTGTAGTGTGTGACCTCTGTAGTGTGTGACCTCTGTAGTGTGTGACCTCTGTAGTGTGTGACCTCTGTAGGATGTGACCTCTGTAGTGTGTGACCTCTGTAGTGTGTGACCTCTGTAGTGTGTGACCTCTGTAAGATGTGTCCTTTGCAGTGTGTGACCTCTGTAGGATGTGACCTCTGTAGGACATTACCTCTATAGGATGCGACCTCTGTAAGATGTGTCCTTTGCAGTGTGTGACCTCTGTAGGATGTGACCTCTGTAGGACCTTACCTCTGTAGGATGTGCAGGGACATGTAGAGCTGGGGTTCGTTGGTGGCGGCAGATCGCACCAGTTTGCTCTTGGTGTGGGCGGAGACCAGGGTCCCGTCAGACAGAGTGAAGCGGTACAGAGGACTGAAGGCGTGACCACAACGGAGAACTGCAGAGACACAGGGAGAGAGGATTTAACGACGGGGACAGAGACCAGAGAATAATCCATAATCAAGTCAGTGAACACAGATTTGAATATTCTTAAAGATGTACTATGTGACTTTGTACCAGTTTTTACTAATGTGTGCATTGTGTGACTGTGGTAACGTCTGAACATTCTGTCATAAACACGCAGGCACAACACCCCTGACCTTCTTGCTGGTGCTTCTTGGCGTAGGACATCTCTCCGTCCTTCTGCAGGTGGAAGCGTTGGATGCAGCGTCGGACCAGGTCCTCCCAGCCGGGCTTCATGGAGGCCCGGAGCAGACTCGTGTCCAGAGACGTGATCTTCCCCTGGAGGTCCTGCCTCGTGGTGAAGCTCTCGTACGTGGAGGTCAACGGTCGCTCCTTGACCGGGACTCTCCGAGCGACGCAGATCAGACACGACTGGAAATCTGGAAACACAAACCGGCACAAAAACAGACGTCAGAACTGGACAAGATTTAAACACTTTTATCAGGTTCTTCATCTTGTTTTCAGATTTATTTTCTACTTACTGGTTCTAAGACTGGTTCATTTTAGTTTAGAGGTCGTTTATTTTATGAGAACTTGTCAAGTAAAATGATCTTGCTGCGTGGACAGATAATTTCACTACTTTTAAGTCACTTTCTGATAGATTTAAATGTTTATATCTTAAATTTTGGCCAAGCTTTGTTGCAGTGTGGTACTATAGTGGACAGTGGCGGAGTTGGCAATTTGGGGGCCCTAGGCGAACTTGAGTTTGGGGCCCTCACTATAATGCACATTTTTTATTTTATTTTATTTATTTATTTATTTTTATTGTATTTATTGTCTGTTTTTCCCCATTGTTCTTGAGACATCTGAATCTTTATTTATTTGAATTATTGTGGATTAGAAACTTGTCTTATTAGTTTGGTCATCGACTAGAAAACCAGAACAGAAAGTAGTTTTTTTTTTTTTGCTCGTACAACTTAAATTTTTGTTTACATCCATTACATTTTATTATTATTATTTTTTTTTATGATTATTTTTTAAAAGTAAAACGACTCTCGTTTAATGTCATACTGAGAAAAAATCTAATTGCTGAGTCCTCGGTCGTTTGTGACACTGAGGGCAACTGTTTGGGGGCCCCTCCAGGTTTGGGGGCCCGAGGCAGCTGCCTACTTTTGCCTAATGGTAGCGCCGCCTCTGAGGGTGGAATCATTAAGAAGAACCACAATCCACATTCTAAAAACATGGTTCAAACATCATAAACATGTTTAACATTTAAACTTTGAAGTAATGACTTTAACGTTTCCTGGTCCTAAAAAGCTTTAGGTTTATACGCTGGGTTTAATTCTGCAGAGCTCAGAGAAAAGGAGGAAAGATAATTTGGGACATGGGGCACAAAAGATGCTCAAATTGTATTTAAAATCAACCAGAAAGTGCAAAATGACAAATGATTAATTAGAATTTTCTTAGGGAGAACCCCCAGACCCCACACCTCCACACTGATGGTTCCCCTGTTAGTTTTTTTTAAATAATAAGATTAAAAAAGACCGAAGTTTATCCGTAAACTCGCCGCACCTTCTCCCTCTTCTTTGATGGACTGCGGCTCAGACACAGCGAAGCACTGCAGCGTCTCGTACTTCTGCTGCCCGGAGTCTGGCGCCTCCTGCGGGTGCGGGGGCTCCCGAGGGTCCTGCGAGTCCTGTGAGTCCTGCGAGTCCGGGGCGGGCGTGGCGGGTGTGGCGGGTGCGGCGGGCGTGGCAGGCGCAGAGGCCCTGTCGCTCTGGGGGTTGATCAGCATTCGACAGGTGAAGGTGCGGCTGTTTCGACCAGACGACTCGGTGCAGCGATGGTTCACTGGAACAGGAAAAGTCACACACAGATCAGAGGTTTGTTTTGTTGGTTTGAATCCATTTGTTTTTCAATATAAAACCAAAAATAAGAAAACAAAAAAACAACAGTTTTCTTCATTATTTGTCTTCAAAAACAAAATAAAAAAATGGATAATGATTATTTTTTTCAGTTTTCGATTTTGTGTTTAAATGAAGAAACAGAAAAAAACAGATAACAACCGTTTTCCGTTTACGTGACTTCTGTGACTGCGATGCCGAACTGAACCAGGACTGATCCAAGTCCGAGACCAGACCGGGACCAGAGCGGGACTGAGACTGAGACCAGTGGTCCGAGCGGTTCCGGGAAAAGTGAGAATGTTCTGTGGACTACAGGTCCGGTCGAGCTGCTCCGGTCCTCCACGCTCAAGAACCACGACTGGTTCCGAGGTGGAGCAAAGCATCAAACTGACGCTTTCACACCAACGAAAACGAACCGAACTAAGAACTTTGGGTTCAAATGGACCAGGTCCGGGACCAGACCGGGACCAGGGTGCTACTGAGACTGGGACCAGACCGGGACCAGAGCAGGCCTGAGACCGAGATAAGACCAGGACCAGACCAGGACCAGACCAGGACCAGACCGGAGGCTCAGAGCCCACGGCAGGGCCGGAGCTCGACGCTGAGGCTCGGACCCTGCGGAGGCTCGGAGTCAAAGCTCGGAGTCCGCTCTGGTCCGGGTCTGGTCCCGGTCTGTCCCGGTCTGTCCCGCTCTGGTCTCGGATCTGGATCAGTCCTGGTTCAGTCCGTACGCGGTGCAAAATCCGGCATCACAGTCACGGGAGTCACTTAAACGGGAAACGACCGTCATCATTTTTTCCATTCTTCATTTAAACACAAAATCGAAAACTGAAAAAACTAATCGTTATCCGTTTTTTCATTTTGGTTTTGGAGACAAATAGTGAAGAAAATTGTTGATATTTTTGTTTTCTTATTTTTGGTTTTATATTGAAAAACGAATGAACGAACGATACATGGATTTATTTTGTGTTGATTTTTAACAGAGAATAAAACAGAATAAACTGGATTATGTTACACAGAAGATTAGTTACTATTTCAGATTATTTACAGTTGCTTTGCCTGGAATATTCCACAGTATGGCATTAAACATGTCTATCACTTGTTTTCAGATTTATTTTCTACTTACTCATTCTGAATTGGTTGTATAATCTTAAAAACTAAATGTCACAGATATTTCTTCCATAACTCAACTAGTCAGAAAAACTTAAATTTAGGCAATAAATGTTTAAAAAAAGCTACAATCCATTTACCCGAGTTTTCCCTGCAACATTTCACTTGTTTTTAGATTCAGTGACGCAGATTTACTTGATACTCGAGTCTGTTTATCTCAAACTTAACTTAAAATAAACTTATTTCCAGCTCATGAACTCTGACCACAGATGATTCCTTCTAGTCTAGAGGTCGTTTATTTAAAAAGAGCTTGTCAAGTAAAATGATTTTGCTGCGTGGACAGATCATTTCTTTACTTTTAAGTCATTTTCAGATAGATTTAAGTGTTTATATCTTAAATTTTGGCCAAGTTTTTTAACAGTGTGGTCAGTATATTAGTTCTGTTAGGTCTGTAGTTCTTAGGGTCTGTTCAGATCAGCGAGTCAAAAAACGCGCTGGACGCCTCTAGTCTCTATTTGGGAGAAAAATAACTGACGCTCATCCAGGACGTCGGTTGTCGTGGAAACAAGTGCCGAGTCCAGGACTTTTCCCGGGACGATGGAGCAGACTGAGAGACTTTAGTGTTTTTATTACATGAAACCATCAGAGGAGGTGATTGGCTCGTCAGCTGCGGCGTGTTTATATTTATACTCCACTAATGACACGCTAATGGTTTAGTCCTGGTTTAGTCCTGGTTCAGTCCTGGTTTAGTCCTGGTTCAGTCCTGGTTCAGTCCTGGTTTAGTCCTGGTTTCAGTCCTGGTTCAGTCCTGGTTCAGTCCTGTTTAGTCCTGGTTTAGTCCTGGTTCAGTCCTGGTTCAGTCCTGGTTCAGTCCTGGTTTAGACCTGGTTTAGACCTGGTTTAGACCTTGTTTAGTCCTGGTTCAGTCCTGGTTCAGTCCTGGTTCAGTCCTGGTTTTGTCCTGGTTTAAACCTGGTTTAGTCCTGGTTCAGTCCTGGTTCAGTCCTGGTTTAGTCCTGGTTCAGTCCTGGTTCAGTCCTGGTTCAGTCCTGGTTCAGTCCTGGTTTAGACCTGGTTTAGTCCTTGGTTTAGTCCTTGGTTTAGTCCTGGTTTAGTCCCGGTTCAGTCCCGGTTCAGTCCCGGTTCAGTCCCGGTTCAGTCTCGGTTCAGTCCTGGTTTAGTCCTGGTTCAGTCCTGGTTCAGTCCTGGTTCAGTCCTGGTTCAGTCCTGGTTCAGGGTTCAGTCCTGGTTTAGTCCTGGTTCAGTCCCGGTTCAGTCCCGGTTCAGTCCCGGTTCAGTCTTGGTTCAGTCCTTGTTTAGTCCCGGTTCAGTCCTGGTTTCAGTCCTGGGTTAGTCTTGGTTCAGTCCTGGTTCAGTCCTGGTTAGTCTGGTTCAGTCCTGGTTAGTCAGTCCTGGTTTCAGTCCTGGTTAGTCCTGTTTAGTCCTGGTTCAGTCCTGGTTCAGTCCTGGTTTAGTCCTGGTTTAGTCCTGGTTTAGTCCTGGTTCAGTCCTGGTTTTAGTCCTGGTTTAGTCCTGGTTCAGTCCTGGTTTAGTCCTGGTTCCTGGTAGTCCTGGTTTAGTCCTGGTTCAGTCCTGGTTTAGTCCTGGTTCAGTCCTGGTTCAGTCCTGGTTCAGTCCTGGTTCAGTCCTGGTTTAGTCCTGGTTTAGTCGTGTCATTCGGTCCAGTGTTTGTGTATATTGTTGCGTATATATATTTATACTCTTTCTCTTTCTTCTCCTTTTTCTAGATAATAACATGGGTACGTCACTGGATGCCCCTCCCTGATTGGTTAACACGGCATGACGGACCAAAAGTTCAGCTTTTTCAACTTCTGACACCGACGCCCTGGACGTGCATCCAGAGTGTCGACGCCTGAACGCTCAAGACGCGCCGCAAAAACACACAACGCCCAAACTCTTGGGCAGCAGTCTCTTTATCAGTGCATTTGTTACTATATTAGTTAGTAGGGCTCAGGTTAGTTACAGTACTGTATTTATGTCAGTACTGTAGTTATGTCAGTACTGTATTTATGTCAGTACTGTAGTTATGTCATACTGTAGTTATGTCTGTACTGTAGTTATGTCCGTATGTAGTTATGTCAGTACTGCGGTTATGTGTGTACTGTAGTTATGTCAGTACTGTAGTTATGTCAGTACTGTAGTTATGTCAGTACTTTAGTCATGTCCGTACTTTAGCCATGTCCGTACTTTAGTCATGTCCGTACTTTAGTCATGTCAGTACTGTAGTTATGTCAGTACTGTAATTATGTCAGTACTGTAGTTATGTCAGTACTGTGGTAATGTCAGTACTGTAGTTATGTCAGTACTGTAGTTATGTCAGTACTATAGTTATGTTTGTACTGTAGTTATGTCTGTACTGTAGTTATGTCAGTACTATAGTTATGTCCGTACTGTGGTTATGTCTGTACTGTGGTTATGCCAGTACTGTAGTTATGTCAGTACTGTAGTTATGTCAGTACTATTTTATGTCAGTACTGTAGTTATGTCAGTACTGTAGTTATGTCAGTACTGCGGTTATGTCAGTATTGTAGTTATGTCAGTACTGTAGTTATGTCAGTTCTGTAATTATGTCAGTACTGTAGTTATGTCTGTACTATAGTTATGTCCCTACTGTAGTTATGTCAGTACTGTAGTTATGTCAGTTCTGTAATTATGTCAGTACTGTAGTTATATTTGTACTGTAATTATGTCAGTACTGTAGTTATGTCAGTACTGCAGTTATATCAGTACTGTAATTATGTCAGTACTGTAATTATGTCAGTACTGTAGTTATGTCAGTACTGTAGTAATGTACTGTATTTATGTAGTTATGTTTGTACTGTAATTATATTTGTACTGTAATTATGTCAGTACTGTAGTTATATTTGTACTGTAGTTATGTCAGTACTGTAATTATGTCAGTACTGTAGTTATATTTGTACTGTATTATGTCAGTACTGTTAGTTATATTGTAGTACTGTAGTCAGTACTGTAGTGTCAGTACTGTAGTTATGTCAGTACTGTAGTTATATTTGTACTGTAATTATGTCAGTACTGTAATTATGTCAGTACTGTAGTTATATTTGTACTGTAATTATGTCAGTACTGTAGTTATATTTGTACTGTAGTTATGTCAGTACTGTAGTTATGTCAGTACTGTAATTATGTCAGTACTGTAATTATGTCAGTACTGTAGTTATATTTGTACTGTAATTATGTCAGTACTGTAGTTATGTCTGTACTGTAGTTATATTTGTACTAGTTTGTACTGTCAGTTAGTGTCAGTACTGCAGTTATGTCAGTACTGCAGTTAGGTCAGTACTGTAGTTATGTCTGTACTATAGTTATGTCCATACAGTGGTTATGTCAGCACTGTAGTTATGTCAGCACTGTAGTTATGTCAGCACTGTAGTTATGTCAGTACTGTAGTTATGTCAGTACTGTAGTTATGTCAGTACTGCAGTTTTGTCAGTACTGTAGTTTTGTCTGTAGTATTAGTTCTTGGACGTGTCTCTGTGTGTTTCTTCGGAGTGTCTCACCCAGACTCTTGGGCAGCAGGTTCCTCACAAACTCGGCGTGGTCTCCCACATGCAGGACGCTGTAGACGCTGGAGCCCATCAGCGCCTCCTGCTGGTAGTGCAGGTACTGACTCACGTTCTCCGACACAAACACGATGTTCCCCTCCATGTTCACCACGAAGAAGAAGCCGTCCAGAGCCTGAGAGGAACACACCACACACAACTCAGGACACAACACAACATAACACACAACACAACAACACACAACACACCATAACACACAACACAACAACACAACAACACACAACTGAGAACACAACACACAACACAACAACACACAACACAACATAACATAACACACAACACAACACACAACTGAGAACACAACATAACACACCACACACAACTGAGAACACAACACAACACACAACAACACACAACATACAACACACACAACACACAACTGAGAACACAAACATAAACACACACACACAACTGAGAACACAACACAACACACAACAACACACAACACACAACACAACAACACACAACTGAGAACACAACACAACACACAACACAACCACACACAACTGAGAACACAACACACAACACAACAACACACAACACACAACAACACACAACACACAACACACAACTGAGAACACAACACACAACACACAACAACACACAACACACAACAACACACGACTCAGAACACACAACACAACACACAACTGAGAACACAACACAACATAACACACAACACACAACACAACAACACAAACTGAGAACACACACACACACAACACACACAACACACAACACAACCACAACACACAACTGAGAACACACAACAAAAACACAACACACAACACACAACTGAAACACAACAACAACACAACACACACAACACACAACAACACACACACAACACACACAAACACAAACAACACACACACACAACACACAACAACACACAACACAACACACAACACACAACTGAGAACACAACAACAACAACACACACACACACACAACACACAAAACACACACAAACACAAACAACACAACAACAACACAACAACACACACACACAACACACAACACAACACACACACACACAACAACAACACACAACACACAACACACACACACACACACAACACACAACAACAACACAACAACTGAGAACACACAACACACAACACACAACAACACACACAACAACACACAACACACACACACACAACACACACAACACACAACACACAACACACAACAACAACACAACAACAACACACACACAACACACACCAACACACAACACAACAACAAAACAACAACACACAACACAACAACACACAACTGAGAACACACACACACACACAACACACAACACACAACACAACAACACACACACACACAACACACAACACACACACAACACACAAACAACACACAAACTGAGAACACACACAACACACACACAACACACAACACACACACACACAACACACACAAACACACAAACACACAACAACAACACAATAACACACCACACACTCAGAACACAACACACACACACACACACACAACTGAGAACACACAACACAACATAACACACAACAAACACACACTCAGAACACACAACTGAGAAACAACACACACACACAACAACACACAACACAACAACACACAACACACAACTGAGAAAACACTGAAAACACACAACACAACACACCACACACAACACACAACTGAGAACACACAACACACACAACACACACAACACACAACACACAACACACAACACACACAACACACAACAACAACACACAACTGAGAACACAACACACAACACACAACTGAGAACACACAACACACACACGACACACAACTGAGAACACAACACACAACACACACACAACACACACAACACAACACACACAACTGAGAACACACAAACAACACACAACACACAACAACACAACTGAGAACACAACACAACACAAACACACAACACACAACTGAGAACACACAACACACACACACAACACACAACTGAGAACACAACACAACATAACACACAACACACACACTGAAACACACAAACACACACACACACACACAACTGAGAACACAACACACAACACACACAACTGAGAACACAACACACAACTGAGAACACAACACAAACACACACAACTGAGAACACACACACAACAACACACAACAACAACAAACAACACAACAACACAAGAACACAACACACAACACACACACACATGAGAACACAAACACAACACACAACTGAACACACAACTCAGGACACACAACACACAACACACAATTGAGAACATCGACCTGAGGCCCGAGGGGGTGAGGGGTTAAATGGGAATGTTCTACCACGTTATAAAAAGGTCCCTCAGGTCGGGTCCTTCAGAGTCTCTGAGTTAAACCTGTTAAAACATCTCCAGGACCTGAGCTGGTCTTGGTCAGGACCTGAGCTGGTCTTGGTCAGAACCTGAGCTGGTCTTGGTCAGGACCTGAGCTGGTCTTGGTCAGGACCTGAGCTGGTCTTGATCAGGACCTGAGCTGGAGGATTTGACCCGCGGTGGAGGTTTTGACTTGAGTGTTCAGAGGAAACCCTCACAGACACAGGGAGAACACGCAAACTCCTCACAGAAAAGACCGGAGAGTCGGAGCAGGAACCTTCTTGAACCACTTGTTCTTTTGAATTTCAATTAAAGCTCCGTTCACACTGGTTCGTATTTGATTTGTTTTGGTTATGGGAGCAGTGTTCGTTCACATTAATCCGATTGAAAAACGGCTCCAGAGTCTGAACGATCTGGTGCCTCCAGCTCCACGAGTTCATGTTGGTCCAGATGTGACGGGGACTGTGTGGACTCCTGAAAACTCTGATACTCTGATGTAGTTCTGTCACCGCCGAACTCATTCACCCACAAAACACTAAGAGTCTGAATATGTGTCCATTCATATAAACGTGTGTCTGTGTGTACGACCTGCACACGTATAAACTCTGAAAAGTTTCACATGAACCATCTCCACATTAGAACTGCACAAACACTGGAGCACTTTAAATCCTCGCTCAAAACGCACCTTTTCTCCCTGGCATTTCTCTAGATCAGGAGTGTCAAACTCATTTTGGTCCGGGGGCCGAATCCAACCGACTTTGATCCCAAAGTGTCCGGATCAGAAAACTCATGTCATATAAACCCCAAAAATAACAACCAGTTCAAATATTTGTGCAGAGAAAACACAAATCTATAACAGAAATCCTTTTTTAATTGATGAATTTGAATTGATTTCTTTTACTAAATATTATAATATTATGAACAACCTGAAACTTTAAGAAAAATGTAATTTCAACACAAACTTTGAACATGAACTTGTCTGTAAACAGAATAAGTCAATTTTTGTTGTAAAATCCTGCACTCGGCTCCACTTTTCTCATGTTGGACATTTTTCTGATGAGGGTGTCACGGTCAACAGTCAAAACGATCGTCCTTTAAGAGCGTTTGGAAAGAGACAAGTCTTCATTTGTGCTGCTCTGGTGGGAGGGGCCACGTACAGAGACGCTGGAGACGCTGCTGTGATAAACACCACAGAAAATTAACACGATTTTAATAGAAAATATCATTAAAATATTTTTGTAGAAAATCACCCAAGGGCCACATTAAAGGTCTTGGAGGGCCGGATCTGGCCCCCGGGCCGTATGTTTGACACCTGTGATCTAGAGTTAGAAAGAGACACCTTGGCACCTTTCTGTTATTTTATATATATACTATTGTTGTTGCTTTGTCAACTGTATGTTTTATTTCATTGTTCAGCACTTTGGTAAGCTTTGGCTCTTTTAAATGTGCTATACAAATAAATTTGATTTGATTTGATTTGATCTCCAACACGACAGAAACACAGAACATCACCATCAGCAGAACATCCCTCTGTCACAGAGAGAACACTCATATTCACTGAGTCACTGTGTCCTTTAGACCGACAGAAACTGAACCACATCAGCGACACAAGGAAAGAACGTTTTTTATCAGAGCGTTTAGTTTATGTAAATGAGTCATGTGGTTTTAAGTTTTGTTTCTGTAAAACGCAAACATATGTGCTCAAAGCTTGTGTGGATAGAGAAGGATTGTGGACGCAGAAACAACGTGTCTGGACGCAGAACTTTTCCAATACGGTGATACGTTTCAGTGTAAACGTAGCCTAAAAATGAAAAACAATAAAATGGGAAAACAGTTTGTTATTTCATTTTTATGTTTTGGTGTCAAACAAAACAAAACAAAAGCAAAAAAAAACAAAAAAATGACCCGACCTTTTTTGCACCACGGACCGGTTTTATATCAGACAATATTTCGTGGACTGGAGGGTTTGGGGCGTTTGAGAGGAGGAACGGTGCGCAGTCCGGCGGCATGGTTAAGTCCTGGATTTAGACCCTGTTTTAGTCCTGGTTTAGACCTGGATTTAGTCCTGGTTTAGTTCTGGTTTTAGTTCTGGTTTTAGTCCTGGTTTAGTCCTGGTTTAGACCTGTTTTAGACCTGTTTTAGACCAGTTTTAGTCCTAGTTTTAGTCCTGGTTTTAGACCTGTTTTAGACCTGTTTTAGTCCTGGTTTAGTCCTGGTTCAGTCTGGTTCAGTCCTGGTTTAGTCCTGGTTTAGTTCTGGTTTAGTCCTGGTTCAGTCCTGGTTTAGTTCTGGTTTAGTCCTGGTTTAGACCTGGTTTAGTCTGGTTCAGTCCTGGTTTAGTCCTGTTTTAGTCCTGGTTTAGTTCTGGTTTAGTCCTGGTTCAGTCCTGGTTTAGTTCTGGTTTAGTCCTGGTTTAGTCCTGGTTTAGTCCTGGTTCAGTCCTGGTTTAGTTCTGGTTTAGTCCTGGTTTAGTCCTGGTTTAGTCCTGGTTCAGTCCTGGTTCAGTCCTGGTTTAGTCCTGGTTTAGTCCTGGTTTAGACCTGGTTTAGTCCTGTTTTAGTCCTGGTTTAGTCCTGGTTTAGTCCTGGTTCAGTCCTGGTTTAGTCCTGGTTGAGTTCTGGTTTAGGATCAATAACATTGAGCTGTTTTGTCAGAACTCCACATGAACCACGGCAGGATTTAGTTTTAAATGACTAATATTCAAACTGCGATTTAGATTTATTTGTGAATAATTGACAGATGTTTTGACGTCAGTGATCAAAGAAAAAA